TTTTATATTTGGGTTCATTTTACAGTTTATCAGTTGTCCTCTACTGTTATTGTTCTTATAGAATATAATATGAAATATTCATAAAAAATAACACTTTACTCTACAGAAAAGAGTCCATTAAAGCTTTTATAAAAATAACGTTTTGTTATATTTGTTGAAACGTTCACTATATCCTGACAGTAGGACATGAGACAGATGATGTGTGAAAAACCAGGTTCCTCTGGCTCCTCCTAGTGCTCCTAATGGCATTGTAAGAATCCATTGGGCCTGAACAAAAACAACCAATCAGAGCCAAGAAAGATATAAAGACGCTTTGGGTTGGAGATTGAAGATAGTTGATTCTGTTGAATCTGTATTTGATGACCTGGGGTCAGTGGTTCCCAACCTGGGGGTCTGCACCGCCACTAGGGGTCACCAAAGCTTCATGGGGGGTCACAAAGCCTTCTTGAGTTTAAGGGGTGTACAAAAACTTAAAACATATACACTGTTGGCCTATATCTCAGCATCTGGTTTTACTTCTGTGAAGAAATGTAAATATAATGTAAAGCAAATTGTCTAATATAACAATGGTCAAGCATCAGGGAGAAGAAAACACTGAATTTGTCAAAAAAGAAGCCTATTAAAGATGTATGATTAATTTTCCTTAAACAGAAAATAATCTGCTCCAAATACATCCGTCAGCCCTTCAGTAAAAAGGTTGATCTAGGTAGTACTGCATTGCCTGCTGTATTCATAAATACTTCATAAAAAACAAGAAAGAGCATTCACATACTGTTTGTCATCAGTGATGACACAGGAATTACACACAATGTCCAGCATCCGAATGCAACCACCTTTATCCTTAATCCTTATGACACAGCCACCAATTATGTTTCTGTCTTAAATTCAATTAAACACACATATCAGTTCAATATGAAGCTAAACACAATGTAGGCTACAAAGACTCACCAATCAGTAGATCCAGGCTCCTTGTAGATAAAATCATGCTGAGCACATCAGCCAGTGCAGTGGAACCAGTGTGGTCAGTCTCTGGCTCTCAGCTGGCAGACAGCCGGGCTAGCCCAGTCCGATTACGAAAGTAGTCAGCCCGAGACCTAACCTGGAGAGTCACAAATAACAAACGCGGCCAGCCAGCCGCCTTCACTGTTACACTCCGACCCCCTCCCCTGTGTTAACCTTTCCTGTTCTGTTTTGACCGCATTCAGAAACACAGGGGAGACTGAATGTTATACTTCTCCAGGGCTGAAACTGTCTACAACTTTGGCATAATAGAATTCCTGAAATTCCGTTACGGCTTTTGTTGTGCCACCCCAGGATTTCCAGCGGCCCCATCTGGCCACCCCTGGGGGTAAGAAGTAAGGGTGCCTGTAGTCACAACTTGTGAGTGACTGGCTGGAATCTGTTCCCATTTTATTATTCTCTTCTTGATTTTATTAAGATAAGATAAGATATTCCTTTAATAGTCCCACAATGGGGAAATTCCAATGTTACAGCAGCAAAGTGGATAGAGAAAAAAAGAGAAAAAACAGTATAAGAACAGTAAGAC